ACTGACATCTCCATCTGGCTGGTCCCTCCAGTTTTCTTAAAAACGAGGAAGCAGAAGAGCTTATTTATCACATCTTTTCCTCCAAGGAGTGCATAGTTCACCCAGCTCCTCAGTTAATCCTTACAGTGACCCAGTGAAACAGGTTAAGAAGCTGGGACTGGCCCAAGGTGAGCTTCATGACTGAGTGGGGATTTGAACCCTGATCTCCCAGGTCCTAGTCTGACATTCTAACCACATTGGCTTCCTAGAGTATACTTCTGCTGTGGGGCAGCTATATAAATGAAGTAGGCAAATAAATATAGGAAAGCAAAATGTCACTTAGAGAAGGAGCTGAAATAACTTTCCTTGAAGGTTGAATTTATTTTGTTCTGGTTTGTATCATTGAAGGTTTTAAAGGTGTTGTAAACTGCTTTAAGATTTATTTATTTGAAATATAAAGCGATATAGAAATGGTATGAATAGTAATAATTATAAACACATTTGCAATAAAGGCGCCTAGATATACTGTTGTGGCAACCGTAACCTAGGTTTAAGGTGTGGTGCCATTTGGCGATTAGCTTATATATCATGCTCCCCACCCCTGCTGAAGGTTTGTTCTTAATTTTTTTGTGGGGGATCAGCAACTGGCAATCAAATTTGGCCCATTGAGAGTTGGTGCCTTCCAGCTGCTGACCGAGGGATGAGGTAAAAACACCGGGAATCAAATCCTTGAATAAATCTCTCTCTCTCTTTTACTGATCCTCCTTGCTGGGCTGTTCTGAAAGTGAACAAGAGATCAAGCTGCTTGTTAGGAGCTGCAGAACGTTTATGCTTCTTACCACTTTGCCCTGATATGTTGTTCTCTTCTCTGTCTCTTTCCCACCCCTGTGCCAAGTAGTCCAGCTCCCAAGCAGAGACCCAGAGGGTTAGCAGGGTGTGTATTCGATGTGGTTTCCTTCTTCATCTGAGCGATCTCTGGCAAAATCAGTTTTCATCTGCAGTTTGGGGATTTCCTGGCAATTAGTTGTTGGATCAAAGGCTTGGCAATTTCGTTTCATTTAGGTACACCCTGTTGTTGTTAACCTTCAGGATATGCCCTGCCTATTGGCTGCTGTTGCTTAATTTTCTGTGTGTGCTTCCAAATAGACAGGAAAACCAAATGGAGTTAATACTGGATCGGTGGTGAAAGCATTTATAGCGCAAAGGGAAGGTATTTTGATGATGAGCATTCCTTCGGGGGGAAATCAGCTGGGTCATAGTCCAAGCTGGCATAAAACAGCGAGTCAGAAGGGCAGGTGACAGCTATTTGGTTACAGCTGATTGGATCTGGCCAGCTGCCTGATTTCTTGGAAGTATTTGGGCCACATTGCATCTGAACATTTCCATGTGCAGTACAGATCCCTTGTGATGTAACTCTTCTCACATCCATTCTCCTCTGCATGGATGTGGTGATCCAGTGGTCCTGCGGATGTTGGGTACCAACTCACGTCAGCTCTAGCCAGCATCGTCAACAGCCAGGGATGATGGGATTTGGAGGACTGCAGGTTCCCCATCCCTACTTTAAACAGGGAATGGGCAGTTTAAGAGTCTATAGAGATGAAGCTGTCAATGTAGCAGCTATGGGCACAAGAGCACTCTTGAGGACCTTTATCTGATGCCCATGAAACCTATGACCCCCACCTCTGGTTCCTTCATCTCAAGATGGGGAGAAAGGTTTTCCTTTTCCTCCCTTGGAAAGCACATAGAGTTGAAGGAGGAAGTTGGAAGAATGATACTTCGACCCACTTTCTGTTTCATCTCTATGTGCTTTACAAGGCTCTGGCCTGAGGTAGAACGAAAAGCAAGGTGATTGAGAGGACAGGTGGGAAAGGGGGGTGATATGGGAGACTGGGGAGAGCAAAACTGAATGTCCAAGGGGGACAACTTGGAGTGCCTCAGATGTCATAGGGTTGTGTGTGTGTGTGCTCACACGTGCAAATACATATGCACAACTGCCACATCAGTAAAACAGAAACAGATTTTTACTGTGCACTCCACTACAGCGAATCCAGTTGGTCCCAGGTATGCTGTTCATGCTTTCCAGTCCATAATCCTCTGGACCTAAGAAGTCAGGTGTTGCCGGAAAACTGGCCTCATACATTTTAGTAGAGGGGAGTAATTTATCTCTGAAGGAAGTCATCTAGTGGCCTCTAGTTTCCAATGATTCCTCACTGCCTGCTCACCTGCTCAAGGTGTTTTCCTTTCCCTCTGGCTTGAGTGCCTGATAATTACCTTCGCCAGGAATACACTGCCCTGTAAAAGGTCATCTCTTATAATAAATGGTTACGCAGAGTAGGAGGGAGGAGGTTGTGGCACTTCTGACAGCACCTGCCAGCTGCAAGGAGTCAAGGATACTGTCCCATTTCTGCTGAACAATTGTGAGCAGCTCTTAACCTTCAGACTTGCTCTCGTGGTCTAGATTTAGTTGGGCTTGGGTGAAAGGGAGAGAGTGTTTTGAAGACCACCCTGCCCAATGTAGGTGTTCTGCTTGTGCCACTCAAGTTATAGCCCCAGACTGGAATAGCTCAGTCAGTAGAGCATTAGTCTCTTAGGTTAGTCTGAGAGATGGCAAAGTCTCCCAGTCAGCTTCAAGACTGGGGGGAGGGGATTTGAACCCGGATCTCCCAGGTCCTACACTACCATTACGGAATTTTTATTAATCTATGTTGAAATGTAGAGCAGTAGCTTTCTTTAATTACAAATGGTAACCTGTTTGATGCATGAACCACCAGCATCATCAAGGTTCATGTGATTAAAGGCAAACACCAGTCATCACAAATCACGGGTGGTTAGAAATTTCATAAAACCACAGGGTTAAGCAGGTCAAAGAGCAGGTCATAGCCTCTGTTTATAAATACTTCAGGATACAGAGAGGGAAATCGTGACCTAAGCATCTTCTTTATGGGTGTTAAGTGATTGCTGTTTCAGGAAATGGCAATTTCCTGGATAAAATTTGATCAAATTATGTTTTGGCTGCGACTGCAAACAGGGAAACTGTGAGTGAAACAAAACACTGTTTCTTAACACACACACACATTGTTTAAAATGTGAAATGGGAACCTAAATTAGAGAAAGCATCAAACATTCATGAATAGATTTGCTCATCTGAGGAATGTATAGAGCAGGCATAGGCAAACTCGGCCCTCCAGATGTTTTGGGACTATCCCTGACCACTGGTCCTGTTAGCTAGGAATCATGGGAGTTGTAGTCCCAAAACATCTGGAGGGCTGAGTTTGCCTATGCCTGGTATAGAGCAAGGTGGCACAAGGAGATGGGAGTTGTAGTCCTAAAGGTATGGAATGCACCAGGTTGGTAAAGGCTGATTTAGTGTGTGTTCTTGCCTAATCTCACTATATATTCAGGTTCGAAGCTCGGATAGTGTTGGAGTGAGTCATAACCTGTGTAAGTAAAGGTAAAGGGACCCCTGAGCATTAGGTCCAGTCGTGGCCGACTCTGGGGTTGCAGTGCTCATCTCGCTTTATTGGCCAAGGGAGCTGCCGTACAGCTTCATGGTCATGTGGCCAGCATGACTAAGCCACTTCTGGCGAACCAGATCAGCACACGGAAATGCTGTTTACCTTCCTGCCAGAGTGGTACCTATTTATCTACTTGCACTTTGACGTGCTTTTGAACTGCTAGGTTGGCAGGAGCAGGGACCGAGCAACGGGAGCTAATCCCATTGTGGGGATTCGAACCGCTGACCTTCTGATCGGCAAGTCCTAGGCTCTGTGGTTTAACCCACAGTGCCACCCACATCCCTGTGTACTGTCCTCTTAAAAATGTTTCTCTTGAACTAGGAGGAAACCCTGCTGTAGGCCTGCATTAACAACCTTATCAAGGAGCTACACACACACACACACACACACACACACTGGTACCTCAGGTTAAGAACTTAATTTGTTCCGGAGGTCTGTTCATAACCTGAAACTGTTCTTAACCTGAAGCACCACTTTAGCTAATGGGGCCTCCTGCTGCTGCCGCGCCGCTGGAGCACGATTTCTGTTCTCATCCTGAAGCAAAGTTCTTAACCCGAGGTAATATTTCTGGGTTAGCAGAGTCTGTAACCTGAAGCGTCTATAACCTGAAGCGCCTGTAACCCGAGGTACCACTGTTATTCCTGTTGCATACACCATTTATTTACCAGCATTCCTGTTGAGGTTCAGCCAAGCACAGCCCTTCATTGTAACCTGCTTCCCCCATGCTGCATTTTCTAACCCTGGTTCTCTGTCATGTTTCCTCCTTGGCTTCATCCTTCAGGCCACAATCCTGTTCTCCAGTATGTGTGAATGTGTTTGTGTTCCTTCCAGAGACTGATCAGTTCAGAGTCTCCTTAAGGTTTCGTGAGCTCATTGGGTCTTGGCCCACGGGTGGAAGCAGAGCTAAAAGCTGATGTGTAGGCCTTTGCCAAATGGTTATATATATTTTCTGCAAATCAACCCTATAATTGAAGATGCTTTGAGGTGTGTGTGTCACCTACTAAGTGTCCGGAAACTGACAACGCAGAGAAACCTCAAGTTGCCCTATTAGTGCACAGACAGGAGGCTTTGTCCTCATGCATCTGTATGGGTGTAAAACAATCTGTGGTTTTGACATCTCAGCCTATTGTCAGCAGTGCGTGTTGAAAAGCTGTAAATACGTAAGGGAAAATTACCTCCTGTGTTTCCTTTGTGCATGGAAATTGGAATAGATGCTCCCTCTTTTCTTTATGTGCTGCATAACTTGAACTGAGACAATGCTGCAGTTGTTTACGTGTGGGTTTTTTTAAAGAATGGAGACTTCAAGGATGGGGAGAAAAAAGAATATAGATATTTGGGTTGGATCCAGTTTTGGTGATGCTTAGAGTACACCCAGTGAAATCAATTAGGCTTCTTGTGGATTTCAGTGGGCCTGCTCTAAGTATGACTTATTATGGGTTGCATCTAATGAAGTCCTAAAATCATGGAGTTGTGGAGTTGGATGGGACCACAAGGGTCATCTATTCCAACCCCATGCAATGCAGGAATCTTTTTCCCAACATCTTTTTGAACCCACGACCCTGAGATTAAAAGTCTCATGCTCTATCGACTGAGCTATTGCAGCTTATGTACAATAAAACAGAGAACGCCACAATGCAGAAAACACCATAACAGTGATATAAAACCTTGCCCTGCTTATCAAAAGTACAGCAGACACCAGCTTCTTCTGTTTCTGTTATATTATCACATTTACAGCTGAGCCTGGCTCTGCAAATTGGAAATCGAGCTTACTGCCTTTAAAAAATCAGCCTGCCAAAGATTGTAAGATATATAGAGATATAGATATAGATTCATCCACATTTCAAATCCCAAATGTTTATTATTATTAGGCAGCGTCTTACATGGAAATAAAAGCAAATCTGGTTTCTAAGACAGGTAAGGGCTGAAGCCACACTTCCACAGACAAAAATTGTTTTGGTAGGACTTCTGTGATGGATTTTTAGTACTGGGTTCTGGGTGACATAAGTGGCTGAGAGAACAGATTTCACAAGTAAGCGTAGGAGACAGTACCCGCTAATACGATTTCACTGTCTATAGCTCTAGATGTGGAAGCATTTAATGAATGATGGCTGCACGAGCAAAACACCAGACAGTGACGTGAGACAAAGAGTAAATTTGTGGAGGTGGCTTGGCTCAAATTGGGCTCCCTTCTGGAAAGTTGTTAGCCTGCCTTAAGTCACAGGATTTGCCCTATAGTCAGAGAAAAAGATGCAAAAAACAAAAAACACAGCATCCACTATTCCTTCCACAAGGGACACATTCATGGTTTCTTTGAATAAAGTATGTAGGATCTCTGACCAAGGGATGCTGGACATATGTTCTCACATTACTTCCAACACGCAGCTTTGTCTCTTGATGTCAACAACAGCACCAACCATTCACAGCTTCTTTGTTAATCCCCCACCAAATCCTGTAATGCCAAATTATCCTCTGCCAAATCCTGCAGTGTCCCCATTTTTTCAAAATTTAGATTGGGGGTGGGGAAACTGTTGCCCTCCAGATGTTGTTGGACAGCAACTTCCATGATCCCCGACTATTGGCTGTGCTGGCTGAGGCTCATGGGAGTTTGAGCCATGTGCCCCTCAACTCTGCTTTAGATGATTCCCTACTGAGAAATGAGAAAGTTATAGAATTGTAGGGTTGGAAGGGTCTGCAAGGGTCATCTGGTCCAACCCCCTGCAATGCAGGAATGTCAACTAAACCAGCCATGATAGATGGCCATCCAACCTCTGCTTAAAATCCCCTAAGGAAGGAGAGTCCACAATCTCCTGACGGAGTCCATTTCACTGTCGAACAGCTCTTACTGTCAGAAGAGCAGGAGAAAACAAGCTTCTTCCATCTTCCATGTGACAACCCTTGAGATATTTGAAGGTGAGAGATTTTACTTTCTTGGGCTCCATGATCACTGCAGATGGTGACAGCAGTCATGAAATTAAAAGACGCCTGCTTCTTGGGAGAAAAGCAATGACAAACCTAGACAGCATCTTAAAAAGCAGAGACATCACCTTGCCAACAAAGGTCTGCATAGTTAAAGCTATGGTTTTCCAAGTTTTGATGTATGGAAGTGAGAGCTGAACCATAAAGAAGGCTGATTGCCGAAGAATTGATGCCTTTGAATTATGGTGCTGGAGGAGACTCTTGAGAGTCCGTCCCATGGACTGCAAGAATATCAAATCTATCCATTCTTAAGGAAATCAGCCCTGAGTGCTCACTGGAAGGACAGATCATGAAGCTGAGGCTCCATTACTTTGGCCACCTCATGAGAAGAGAAGACTCCCTGGAAAAGACCCTGATGTTGGGAAAGATTGAGGGCACAAGGAGAAGGGAGTGACAGAGGACGAAGTGGTTGGACAGTGTTCTTAAAGCTACCAGCATGAGTTTGACCAAACTGCGGGAGGCAGTGGAAGACAGAAGTGCCTGGCATGCTCTGGTTCATGGGGTCATGAAGAGTCGGATGACTAAACGACTAAACAACAACATCATATCTCCTCTCAGCCTCCTCTTTTCCAGGCTGAACATACCCAGTTCCTTCAACCATTCTTCATAAGGCTTGGTTGGAGCTTGGCTTGGCTGCCAGTGGCCATAGAGGTGGCTCGGTTGAGGGCACTTTCTCCATTATACAATTCTTTCAAAATGGTCCCCACGAAACGTGTTTGAAAACGAAGACCTTTTAAACTCCAAATGACAGTCACATTCCAGTCTCTCTTTACAATGGTTTGTTATTGCTTTCAGCTGCCCAGTGGTGAATTCAAGGCAAAGTCCACCAGAAATGATAGATGTCACCTTCTGTAATTAAAATTCCTTCCCTCATATGGTACCCCAGTCTTGAGGTTTACACTCATCTCTAATTTGTGCACATTGTGTGCAGCTAAGACATTTTATGTGTCTGAAAGTTCATTTCTCTAAAATCTGATGATTCTATGGTTATCTACCAGCCACATCTTCAAAGACGCTTAACAGCTTTATGTAGGAGACCTGTAAAGTTGTCTGGGGTCAGAGTGCCAATATGCAATTTCCACGTTTGCATAACGGAGAGGAGAACAGAGTAAGCCAAAATTAAATGTGGGAAACCTTGACAGCTACAGATCGGTTCATCTTCTGCTTTGCCTAGGGACCCCCTCTCTGGCCTGACATTCCCCTCACAGTTCGCACTTGCGTCTACTGCCAAAATGACGTGCTGCTCCCTGTTGTGGTACCAGTCACGGTGCCGTCTCCCCCAGGCAGCGAGTACTAAGGTGTGTGACAGAACAAACTCAAACAGACAATGATCTGCAGGAGGCACATGTGGCAAGCCTTTATGCATTGCCTCCTGGCTAGGCATGGCCCACAGCCAATGCCCAGCCAGGCGGCAAGGTATTGCCCCTCCAGTGGGGCCTCTGATTGGCCCATTTTATCTTGGTTTGGTTTTTTGTGTGGGAATCCTGCTCTGTATTTCTTCCGTCCAGGGAATTCCCTTAACAGCCAGTCAACATATGGCTTCTGCTGCTGGGGGCAGTGGATGGGGCGAAGGGTCTCGACCGGTGCCCACAGCTGCACTGGTTGCTAGTTTGTTTCTGAGCCTAACTCAAGGTGCTTGGAGGCAGCCCATAAGTTGTGGAACTCCCTTCTCACATAGATGTGGATTTATGCGGAAATTGTTTTCCATCTGGTTGTGTACCTTTTGATGTGCTTTATTTATTGTTTACGACTTTTGTTATGTTCGTAATTATGTAAATCTTGTCATGTTGTAAGCTGCCTTGAGCACTGTTTTAACTAGGCAGCATACAAGTAAACTGATGATGATGATGGTGGTGATGATGAGATGTCTCTGGCATCTTCCTTACATGCTGAAGACACACCTCTTTAACCACGCTTTTGACTCATGAGTTGTATATTTTTAGGACCCACCTGATTTATGTGATTGTAAAAGGTAAAGGTAAAGGGACCCCTGACCCTTAGGTCCAGTCGTGGCCAACTCTGGGGTTGCAGCGCTCATCTCGCTTTATTGGCCGAGGGAGCCGGCATACAGCTTCCGGGTCATGTGGCCAGCATGACTAAGCCGCTTCTGGCGAACCAGAGCAGCGCACGGAAACGCTGTTTACCTTCCCACCAGAGTGGTACCTATTTATCTACTTGCACTTGATGTGCTTTCGAACTGCTAGGTTGGCAGGAGCTGGGAACGAGCAACGGGAGCTCACCCTGTTGCGGGGATTCAAACCGCCGACCTTCTGATCGGCAAGTCCTAGGCTCTGTGGTTTAACTCACAGCGCCACCCGCGTCCCTATGTGATTGTAAGCTGTTTAAAGCTTTTTGTAATAGTGTGTTTTCGGTGCTGTAAGCCAGCCTGGGACTTTAGGGTGAAGGACTGGTAAAAAAACAACCATCATCATTATTCAGCCACGTGGTTTTTCAGTGGCTTTCAGTCTGTGCCCAGACCAGGCTCCCTATCCTTCAAGCAAAAGTGGTCCTTCAGCTTTTGTTGGACTCCAACTCGCATGGTGTCCTAATCGTGTTAATACGGGGGTGTCAGTTTGAAATAAATCTCTTTTTTTTGTTAGGGGGGATTTGAAGAGCACTCACACATGGTTTTCCCACCAGCAAACACACCCAGTAATAATGATCGTGGCTCGCTCGAAAATGCCATCACGTGCGTGGTTCCGACCTGACGGTTGTTTTCAGGTGTAGTAAAAGCTTGGGGAAGATAATTTGTTTTCAGTTTGTGCTGTGCTGAGTGGAATGTTTGCAGGGTGTAGCTCATCTTTTATTTCTGCGAAATAACTTGTCTTTTTGGCTGTGCAGTAACTCACCTTTTAATGAGTCATATTTCCCCCCTCTCCCCGAAGCTTGACATTTAAATTAAGCTTAGGCTGAGAAGTCCTGTGCTCGTTTCCGATGTCGTAATGACATATGCTCAACTGGTTGTGTTTTTAAACAACCGCCACATTTGTAATATTTTTTATTTCCAAAGAGTGGGGATTGCTCACAAGTGGAATGTGTACGGTTCTGGCCATGTTTGAGGATCAGCAACGCAAATATCATGAGCTGTGGTTTTTTTTTTTGCAGTGAGATTGCTGCAGAAACTTTGTGATGGTGAACACTGATAGGACAAGCAATTGGAATGCTTTAGGGCTGCAAACGGATAATTTATTGCATTGTATTGCATTGGGGAACTGTATGTGGACAGAATAAAAGCTCTGCTTGAAGGGGATTATAATTTGACCAGATGAAGCAGACAGATAGCAGGCTTCATACAAGCAAATAGGCCATTGTATTATAAACATCATTCAGGAATGGCGGATGTGGTCTGAACAGGTTAAAACTGCCTAGTGAATTGAAGCAAAAAAATTCCCCTCTTGAAAGGAAAGGAAGGCAAACATTAAATTTTATTAAGGGTGCCAGCAACTTTTTCTCTCTACTTCTCCCCCACGTTTCCATTGCACAGATATATTGCAGTTTTTGTCTGCTGGGATTCTCTCTTTCCTCCCCCCTCCCCTTAGAGAACAGGGCACAGATGGTTTAAAATGCTGACTAGGATTTTTTATCCATCAAGCGTGGCAGTTTGGTAGGAATTGGACTGCCCTGTGG